GATATTCAAAAGGCATTGAACACCTCCATGGTGCCCTTCCCTCGAGACCGGAACCTGTGAAGATGTTGCGGGCTCGGAACCCGCCGAGCCATCCTCCTTGAGGGGCCCAAAATGGGGGCACTCCATTGCAGAAAAGAGTAAGTTCCCGGCAAAGTCGAGCAGATCGCCGTGGGCGTCCCCAGCCTTCACAAGTGAGGCAGGATGACGAGCCCTCTGTGCTAGTGGGCATTTTTCTCCCCACTTGTGCCTTCGCTTCCAAGCGTTCTTGGTACTGCATCCTCGCCAGCTTTGCGGCTGAGACTCGGCCTGGACCCAAGCTGTGCTGAGACTCCACAGTGAGTGCTTCCTCCTTGCAAACCCCCAAAGCCTCCAAGCGGACGAGACAACAGCGAGTCCGGATTGCACTCGAGGAGGCGCTGGCAAGGAAAGTCAAGCTCATGCATCGGGCCCATCCAGCAATGCAAGAAACCACAGCCCGTCCCACCAGTGCAGTGGCAGCACCAGCGACTCGCGCTGCACCTGACATGCTTCACAAGGCCTTGCTCCCTGCCACACCCTCTGCTCACTGGCGTGGACCCATTGTCTGGGAGGCTGCAGACGGCGGGAGATACGACGACCTTACAATCAACTTCGGCACCAAGGCAATTGTTCACTCTGCCGCGATTATTCGGCTTTTACCCCAGCACACCTGCAGTGAAGCTCTTAGTAAGGGGCTGCCGGGCCGTCATTGAAAACTCCCTGTGCTGCAGACGCGAGCAAAGGAAGACCGGCGGAGTCTTCTTTCCTATGGGCTTTGCTCTCGCCTCCCGAGCGGCGGCGGCCTACATCGCCACAGGTACAGAAGCAGAATACTTCTTTGCTGTGTTCAGTGGAGGCTGCTCGGTTCCTTTGACAGTTCGGGTTCAACCGTGCATCTGCGGCCAGATGCACTTGCTCGGTGTCGCCGAGTGTGGAATGGCTGGAAGGCTCCTCACAGCTCTTCAGGTTGCAAGAGAAGGCAGCTGCCTGACTTGAGATTATGATGCTTGCATGTTTCTCAACTGACTACAATGCTGCAAGCTTCGTGCGCTCATCCAAACTGTACGCTTTTCTGATCCATGTTGCTTGGCCCTTGACAGGCTACAGCTTGAGCAAAAGTTGCACAACCAAAGACCGATGCGAGTGGCGCTGGCACATCCAAACAGGCTGCTGCATGCTTCGAAGATCGCGATCATGAGATGATGACTTGAGCTCACTCGGGCCAATAACGCATCACGACCCAGTGCCTTGCAGTTGTTCGGGTGTCCAACACCTTAGCATCTCTCAGCGCAGGCAAGCTTGATTCAGTGAAAGCTGGACCGGCTTAAGGACCCTAAGCCAACGTCGAACGCGTGATCTTGGGATCTGGCTGCCAACGGACTCCATCGGTCCGGCCTCGGGTCGGGGCATTTCAGCATCGTCAAAGGAGAAGCTTGTCCTTCTGCACCTTGAGGCACCTGGACTGGGCCTCAGGCTGTCTTCAGAGAGTTCAACTGTTTCGGAGGATCACCATCCTGCACATCCTGGCGACGAGCGGAGCCCAGTCATGAGAGAGCCTTTCTTTGAGAGAATTCGGTCGCAGCATCTCGTCCTGCGCTTGCTCGCTTCGCGAGGCCGAGCTGCTGCTCTCGTCTTGCGTCGACTCCTTGTAAGCCTCTCTGAAGCGACAAGAACTCTCGCAGCATCTATGGGACTCTGGCTAGGCCTTCACACGCTGCGAGAGGTGAGGTCGGTCAAAGCACGTCGGCTCAACGAAAGTCTCATGCAAAAAAAAGTTCGGGTCCCATCTTGCTCTCGTCGGGCAGTGGAGGCTCCGCTCTGCGTTATCGCTCGTGTACGAAAGCGCGCGTACGATCGAGGCAACTTTCATCAGGTCAGCTTTCTCCAAAGCTCGGGATGCAGGGAGCTGGCCAAGCCTGACTTACCACTTTGCGTGACACTTTGCTCTGACCATGCTGCTGTGGCTAGAGGAGGAACTGATTAATGCCACCACTGCAGCTACTTCCACGCCGGCCCGTGCTACCCTGCATTGTCCTGTCTTATGCTTGATCTTTTGCAGTTCGCTTTGAAGTCGCCATCTTCCTATGGAAGTAGAAGACTGTAGGTGGGGGCCCCCGGCGTCAATCCCTAGGGCACGGTCAAGCCTAATCGACAAACGAGCCTCGCATGCCACCCATCCCGGTGTCCTGCTCGCACCCCCCTCCCTGCACTCGCTTTGGTGATGATACAAACAACACTGAGGCTTATCCGCGAAGCACTGTAAGATGATGCATTCTGCGCAACCAAATTGACGGGGCATAGGCCTGGCCGCGGTAAAGCTGGAGCGGACAGGGGCTAAGGTCGAAAAGCATTAGAGAGAAGATATGCTCCCGTGCTGGAGTTTCTTCTACACACCCTAGAAACTTATACACATGGGCAGGATGTCATCTCTCTCAAATGCCTTCACCGTCTCTGTGCGTGATCCCGAACTGCTGCCGCTGCCATCCCGGGCCACCTTTGTCGCCTGTCTGACAAGTAGATGCGTCAAAACGGACAAGACTAGCACCCTCCTCTTGCTAACGACACGGAGCCTGCCTCGCTCTCTTCGCAAACTGAGGGCTCGCAGCCCGTAGTCGTGCTGCTGCTGCTGTTGCTCACTGACCTGCTGAGGGTACAAGATAGAGACTGAAGCGCTGCGTCGTACACAAGAACAGACATCTAAGCCCTGTTCCCATCTTCTTTCACTGCCGGCTTACGCCACCCGTTGGGGCCAGTCTCCTGCTCGAGGGCAAAATTAACAGCTTGAAAACGTGAGGGCAGCTGGGGTCTGCCAAATCTTCCCCAAGCTCGAAATGTCCTTCAAGCATTCACCACTCAACGCAGGCATAGCCTGCAGAGAACAAACAGGGCAAAGATCACTCTCGGTTCTGGAGTTCAATTTCCATGACCACATACTGCATGTTTAATTACTCGGCCATCTGCAACATGGTGTTCGTTTTCTGAGTCATGTGCGCTTGCACTTCGTGTCTCTCATCAAGATGTAAGCCCTGCCTTTTTCAGACCACTTGCTGGACTGTCAGCTGCCAGAGCCATATTCGTGCTCGTTCAAGCCTCAGGATCCAAAACCCAGTCAGCTAGGCCTAGCGCAGCGGGGACACTTCAAGACCAGACGTGGCTTTGCCCCCGGCAGCCACAACAACAATCTGTTCGAACCTGCCCGAGGTCAACCACATGACATGGGGGTCGAGACTCGCTCGTGTGACGATTCGGCGCACCCAGCCGAGCCTGATGCTGGCTTACGCCAGGCGTGGATGAGCCCAAGCTCCAACGCAGTTGGAGATGCTCCCGACTTGCTTGACGCAAGGCTCTCGGAGTCCCGGAGTGTCAGGCGACTAGTGACTAGTCCGATGTCATATACTCGTGGATGCCTTGAGCTGTGCCCAAACTTGAAATCCTTTGCCAGTCCAGAACTCGAGTGCCAGGAGCTTCTGACTTGATCTGAGCCGAAACAGCAGGCCAACGTTTCAAAAGCTGGAAAGCTGACACTGAGCTGTGAGATTTGAGGGTGAGATCCAAGGGTCACTCTGCCCTGTCCTGTGTCTGTGCATCCAAGCTTTTTCGCGCACGCCAAACTCTGTGTCGAGCGATGGCTTCTGGAACAGAGGGCCTCGGCAGGCTTGGATGAATCGAAGCACGCTGAGGTAGTAACAGGTAGTACCAGTCATCTCGGACAGGCGCACATGCAGGGAGTCTTAAATTGAGCATAATGGCCTATAGTAAGCTAAGGGATCATCTCGGCAGCGCAAGCTGCTCGGATAGATGCAGGGACGACGGAAACCCGGAAGGTGGCATGGAAAGCCGCGATGTACCACGCTGCAGTCCATCGATTCAGGCATCATAAGTTCTCACCCGTATAAACCTTCAAACCACTCGGTTCGGCTCTGCTTTTGTCCCGTCCACATGCCTGCAGTCAGGATGAGTCTGAGCCTCACAGAATGTGAAGATCGCGGGGGTGCTGACACTTGGCCAGAAAGACTCCAGCAAGCAAACCATGTGTTGCCCTGCCATGCCCCAACAAAAACGTCATGCACTGAGTGCGAACACGTCTGCTTTAGCCCGACTGATCGCTTCAGAAGGCAGGCGTGTAATGCCACAAGCACTGCCCATCTATACGGCATTTTGAATTCAGGTACTCTCCAGGGTATTTTGCAACAGCGCATAACAGCGCACTTTGCTACGAGTGGCGCATCTGAATTGGTTAAACTGGGAAGATGTCGTCAGCGGCTATACTGTCGGGCGCCAATCTATGCGTCAGCGCCTGCTTGTGCGATTTCCAGCTGCGTCCTCCGCACATCTCAGAGTCTCACACTAACCCGGGGCGTCCTCCAAGTTTCAAGATCACGTGGGAGTTTCCGAAAATGAGGGACCCTGATATAGCACGCTAAATAGTAGGATCCTTATTTTAGAGACCCCCAAATAAGGTACCCCTAATTTTCGGACACTTTCACATGAACTTTCCAGACGCAGCCTTCTCACAGAAGTCAAACGCCAGAAGTTGCTGTACTGGTGGCCCTGCTGCACTTGCTTGCCTGGCAGTCAGAGAGCAGTCGTATTATTTTAACATTATAATATAGTATGTTATAGTGTGTTATAGTATAGTATATATTATAGCATAGTATAGTACGGTATAGTATGAAGATCTGCTGGTCTGAACATGCACATCGGCTTCCCAAGCTTGACACATATCTTTCACCCAGGCCAGATGTTCCCTACCAGTTCCTGCTGGTATGCATCCTAGGTCTGCATGAAAGCTATTGCACGACATTCATTAGAAAGTGTGAGTGCAATGAATGCACGAGCAGAATTATGCAGCCCTGATGGCGACGGATCAGGGTTCCACCCTGCGTTCTTGCCGGAGTCCTCTACGTTGAAGGCGTTGCATTCTTGCTTCTCTCTAGGGACAAGACCGTGAATTGCTCAAATCGTCTTCCCACTTGCCAGAGTCAGAGTTGCCATTTCACGAGATGAATGCAGGATTTCCCACATGCCTGTCTTGCGAGCTCGCGACCAGACTCTCCGTAAACGTTGTCGAAGTCGGCCTAGCACGCGCAAATTTGAAGACAGTGAGTTGACATTGCCTTACTTTCGGCCCATGGTCACCTGGCCATGCCTTCTGAATTACACGATTCCGTTCTCTGCTGCAAAACAACTCTGCTGCTCAACCGGCCATGCTGGAAGCACACAACATCCCCAGAACCTAGACGGGGCCACAATGTGCAAGAAACCAGCCTCGACTTCATGCAACGCCTCTATCATGTGACCCATGTCTGCATCCAACTCCACTACCTGAGGACACCCGCGGCACAACAAGCACTTCTTGGCTGTCTGTGTCTCTGCAAGTTCACTGTACGCGTGGAGATGTCAAGGAGTCTGAGGACGAGACCAGCTTGTCCTCGCCAGCCTCCAAGTCGTGGAGGCGGGAGCCCATATGGGCCAAGGCCTGCTGAGCTTCCTGCAGATCTGCAGTGAAGCGATCCTGCTCCAGCTTCTTAATGTAGTTCTTGAGTAGCCTGGGTATTTAATCGGAGACGATGAGCCAAGCCATCCCATAGAGAAAAAGGCTATCTCTTAACCTAAACTAATAAAACTTCTTAATGTAGTTCTTGAGTAGCCGGCGGCAAGCCATGTAGAAGAGGCCAACACTGCCAGTGACAAAGGCGGGCAAGAGAAGAGCACGGGGACCCGGAATCACATTCTCCATGTAGATTCCAATAAGGCCTCCAATCAGGTAGAAGGACCACAAGCCTGCCAGCACCGCCAACTTCCGCGCATCTACTCCGATCTCAGCGCGGTCGATGTCGTTCAGGGGTGCACAGCGACAAGCTTTCCGGAGAAAGATCATGCTGATGCGGCCCATTGTGGAGCCGATGTCCGTGACCGTCCCAGTGACGTGTGTCGTGCGGATGATTGCACCGAAATGCGAGGTGCACATGGCATTCTGCAGACCGCAGGCCGCAGACACAAAGCATGCCGGCACCAGGCGACCAGGAACAAATGCTGCGGTGATCAAGAGCGCAGAGTTGAGGACCAGAGCTAAGCCATAAAATGCCTTGCCCATGAAGTGCACCTGGTTTTTGTCGATGAGGAGGCCGCATGCGTACGCCCCGGCCAGAAACGAAAACACCAGAGAACAGGCTTCTGTCAGAGACTCGGAGCCGTACTCACCTTGTTGGTAGCCCTCCAGTCGGAATGCCATGTTGGATGTGCTGCCCGTCACATGGGATGCATACAGCATCCAGCACTTGAAAGCAATCGTGTTGGCGGCACCCGCACATGCAGCCAAGCACCAGCCGAAGCCTGTCACCCAGAACTTCGGTCGCTGAAAGCTTTTGCGAATGGTCGCAGCTTTCCTGATGAACACGAACAGTCACAAAGAGAAGGAACGCTACCATGTAGCAGCAGAGGTGAGATGTTTGGGCCATGCACCAAGCAGCAAAAATTAACTCTTCCAGGCTAGACCGGCCCAGGTTCTCACGGATCCTCATTGTGGAGCTCGACTGCCTTGACAAGCGAGAAGGGGAGAGCGGTGCCTTCTCCTGGGGAAGAGCCTGTGTCATCCTGCTTGGAATTTCTCTACAACACAAGCTGTCTGAGTCAGTCGTATGCTGCTCCTCGGGCCACAATGATGCACTGGCCTGCTCTGACTCAGGAAGGACGGCCACTTGTACAAGCTCCTGTTAGCCCTTGCACTGGCTTGTGTGTGTGTGTGCCAGAGGACACACAGATGATCTTCAAGCTCCAGGCATGAACCTTTCACTGGCTCACGCGGCCGCGAACTTCGCCTTTCACGCTTCAGGATACCGAAGCCGCCGTGGACGGCTTTGCTGCACAATTCAGGGTTGAGGGCATTGGGTTTCATACGCTACGGTCACCACGACAGAAAGAAGCTCATCTGGGCCAGCACTTCAAATTGGAACCCAGGATGCTGTGAGAAGCTTCCGGGGACCGAGCAGCCGCTTCTCTATCACGAAGACCTGCAGGCTTGGGCAAGGATCTGATAGGAGGCCAAGACGTTCCGAGCCCCAACCCTGAATCTACCGGTCCACGATGTCCCCCCTCCCCCCAAACTCCACTGGCCCATCGGTGGCCACCTCCTTAGCAGCCAGATTCGCAGCGGCTGACATCGGATCCACCGCCGAGTGTGTGACCTGCAGCAGTTGAACTGGCGCCCTGTGGGGCCCTCGTGTTGGTGCCAGCCGCTTAGCTCTTCTGAAGTCTGAAGGCTTCGTCACAGAACGCCTGGATTCTATTGCATGCCTGCCACCGTTCGCGCTCGAGGCAGCATCAACTCCGGAAGAAGACACCCATGCAGACCAAGGCGGGGAGAAGATGATTCTTAATGTGCCGAACGGGGATCTTCTTCGTTTCAGAGCTGTGCCTCTGCCACGCACCATGGCTGCTCTGCATTCTGGCTTAGCGGAAAGAGGGACGCCACCTGGCAGAATTCCAAAGACTCCTGCTGCGAGCCACCACGCAATCTTTTAGGCGCCTTGTGTGGCCTCCAGTCCGCAACAAGATCTTCGTCGACATCCTGCAACTGGGGGAGGTGATCACCAGGGACGACGCAGCCGACGCAGACACTGCGAGCCGGGAGCCTCGTTTTCTCGCAGAAACCGGCGGATGCCGACGCAGAAGTCGCGGCGGTCCGACAGCAACACGCAGCGAGCCCCGACCTGATCAGAGAGAGTCAGACAAAGAACCAACAGAAAGGCTGGGGCCGGGGACCGGCATGTCTCGGTCGCGGGAGGGGCGCTTTGTGCAAGAAGGTGATGGAATGGGGGATCATGGGATTCGAGCTCCTCGAGGCCAGGGCCTCCAAGTGGTGTAAAACCACCCGCAGTCCATCTTGCACGACTGCCTGCTCCTGCGAAGCGACGAAGCGACGAAGCGACGAAGCGACGAAGCGACGAAGCGACGAAGCGACGAAGCGAAGTACAGTGTGCCCTGTACTGCCGCGTCCCCGCATGGCCATGCCCTGGCTATAGCGTGCGCCTTCCGGAGGGCAGCTCGCAGGGCATTCAGCGCTCCGTCCGGCGCCGGCCCGGCCTGGGAGAGAAGAGGCATCTGTTGCTCGCATCTGTCCTCTCGAATCTGGAGATATCTGGAGCTGCTGCGGGATCTTTGAGCAGCTCTGCGGCGCTGCGGAAGAGGCCTCTCGCAACATCCGATCCTTTTGAAAGCCGTGTCCTTTGCACGCTCGGTCGCCTGCAACGTCTGAGTTGGCCTCCGCTTCAGAAACAAGCGCGGCACCGTGACGCATGCATCAGTCTCGCACTGCCGATGTAATCGCGAAATGGAACACATCTGCCACAAGCCCTACAGCTGCTGCGCCTGCAATCCGCGCGCCTGCTTCTGCACTTCCAACACCTTACGAACTCCAAACTTGCAAAGGTCAGCAGCAAGCCCCGGATGCAGCAAGCATGTGACCCTAACCGACCAGGAACCTGCGCGAACCGTGCCCACAGCAAGTCGTCCTGGCCGAGACCATTCGGCGGGGGACTGCTCGGTATCCCAGGCACGACTTCTGTTTCTCTGCCTCTTGCTCTCCATGCTGTTGGAAGAGTTTGGCGAGCTCCTCTGCGTGCAGAAAGATGTCAACGCTTTCTGGAGGTCACCACCACAAGGCGAACCAACGAAAGTGCAGCCACTGCGAGCTTGCAGGGCTCAGGATGCACGCAATCCAGGAGCAGACCCTCCTGCTGCGTTGCTTTGCGCAGCCACGCAACAGACCAAGTCGGCAAGACCTGGTGCACGGACTGATGAGGGGCACATCGGGGCACACACACCCGAGCTGCCTTATCCGTCATGAGCTGGGAAACTGGACGTTCTATCATTGCTAATTGCTGGTGTCCTTGCAGTCTTCACCATACCCCGGAACCAAAGCCACTTTATCGCTGCTGCATCTTCAAATGTTGTCAGGATGATGACCATGCGGATAGTAGCCAGCGACGGGTACTTGGAAGTAGTTGCAGCAGAGGTGGATAGTGGCAGTGGTGGTAGTTGTGCTTGTAGTGAATGTGAAATAAGTGGTGGCAGTGGTGGTGGTGGTGGTGGTGGTGGTGGTGGTGGTGGTGGTGGTGGTGGTGGTGGTGGTGGTGGTGGTGGTGGTGGTGGTGGTGGTGGTGGTGGTGGTGGTGGTGGTGGTGGTGGTGGTGGTAGCGGTAGCGATCGCGGTGGCAGTGTATCAATAGCGATACTTGTAGTAGTGGTATCAGCAGTAGCAGGAGCAGCAGTAGTAGCAGTAGCACAAGTAGCAGCAGTTGCAGCAGAAGCAGCAGTAGCAGCAGTAGCAGCAGTAACAGCAGTGCACAGTGGCAACACCAGCAGCAGTAGCAGTAGCAGTAAGAGTAGCAGTAGCGGTAGCGGTTGTGGTCGCGGTCGCGGGAGTGGTAGCAGTAGCAGTAGCAGTAGGAGCAGCAGCAGGAGCAGCAGGAGCAGCAGGAGCAGGAGGAGCAGGAGCAACAGGAGCAACAGGAGCCATAGGAGCATGAGCAACAGGAACAACAGTAGCAACGGTAGGAGCAGAGTACTGGAAGGAGCGGCAGCGGCAGAGGCAATAGTAGTGGGAGCAGCACTAACAAGCAGTAGTGGCAACGGTAGCCGTAGACGTCGTGGTAATGGAAGTAAAAGTTGTAGTGGGGGTAGTGGTAGTGGTAGTGGTAGTGGTAGTGCTAGTGGTAGTGGTAGTCGAAGTGGAAGTGGTAGTGGTAGCGGCTGTGGTAGTGGTAGCGGTATAGCGGTAGCGGTATAGCGGTGTAGCGGTGTAGCGGTGTAGCGGTGTAGCGGTGTGGCGGTGTAGCGGTGTAGCGGTGTAGCGGTAGCGGTGTAGCGGTGGCGGTATAGCGGTAGCGGTATAGTGGTAGCGGTATGGCGGCAGCGGTATTGCCGTAGGGGTGGCGGTAGTCGTACTGGTACTGGTAGTGGTTGCGGTAGCGGCAGTGGTGGTGGCACTGGTAGCGGTAGTGGTCGCGGTAGTGGTACTGGTAGTGGTACTGGTAGCGGTAGGTAGTAGTGGTAGAAGTGGTACTGGTATTGGTAGTGGTGCTGGTAGTGGTACTTGTACCAGTAGTGCTACTCGTACTGGTAGTTACGTTAGAGGCAGCAGTAGTAGCAGTCGTCAGGCGTTAGCAGCCGTCGTAGCAGCAGCAGCAGCGGCCTGAGTAGCAGCAGCAGCAGCAGTAGCCGTGCAGCAGCAGCAGCAGCAGCAGCAAGAGTAGCAGCAGAAGTTGCAGTAGTAGCCGTCAATATGGATGATTCTGCGCCTATTAACCCTGCATACTGACGCAGCGGCCAGACCCCGCAGGTCCAACAAAACTCCCCGGAGGGGAAGTTGGGACTCCTGGAGTGTCTGCTGAATATCCATCTAGAGTTGTTGTCGACACACGAAGTTGCTTGGTACTGGACGTACTTTTGCATGCAGCAACAAGCCACCTCCTGTGCACTGGTGACGAGGCTGTGCAAAAACCTTTCACAGGTTCCAAACACGAGACCACAAAAATCCTAAGTCCTAAATCCTGTGATTGTGATTTGACTGCTCAGATTTATGCAGTAGCTTGTCACAGACACCATCGCTTTGGTGCGGCAGAGCAACGTGCTACCTCTGCCCTGGGGCGGGAGTCGGAGTTGAGGCTCCTCCTTGGCGCTGCCAAAACCAGGGCCTAACCCGGGACATCCACTGACCACCGTTCAGCCCAAGCTTCCGAAGCCAAGCGCTGCAGAGCGGAAGCCTCTCTGAGCGAAGGAGCACCGGCGAATGGCTGACACCGAAAAGGCCAAAAAGGCACTGAAAGCGCGCCGAGACTGGCCTCACGAGCGGGACAGTGAACCTCGAGCAGAGCTGCCTTGGGCAGCCGTTGCAGCACAACCTGAGCTTAAGTCGGACAAAAAACGACCATGTAATGGGAAGCTTCTCGGCTGAGACACGGTCAGGATCAACGCTTTCCGTGCCGTCTGTGGATCAATTGCACAATACGGGACAATACGGGACAAACTTGCAAGCAGGCGGCTTTGGCGACAGCTAGAGCGCGTCCGGGACTGCCTGGACTGAAAAGGCTTCACTTTCCAGATGCTTCCCTATCAACTCCGAAGCTTTCCACAAGATTCAAGCTAAGAGGGAGGTGCCCACCTCCGTAGCCCAAGTATCTGCAAGGACCCCAGCTGCTGCTCTCTGCTGGAATTAGGACTCGAGCCAGCATGGCTCATCATGGCAAACCTCCATGTCAAACTGTCTCACCATGTCTGCTGCTTGGGGCCGACACGGTGCTAGCTGCTAGCTCCCTGCTGCGGAACTGCAGCGGCCGAGGATGCAGTTCCGCACTTCTTGAGACCTACATGTTGCGCTTTTTGAGCTTCGGCGCACCTCGCAAGCGTAGGTGTCTGCTCATCAGAACTCCGAAGCATCCTTAGTGCATGCTCTCGAAGCGTATGTGGTAGCCCAAAGCTTTCGCTCGCTTCGCATAGCCACTCTGCTGCAGCGGTGCACCAGGATCGTCGACAAACAGAGGCTGAACGCCTGCCTCCATAGCCAGTTGCAGCCGACCCTCGTTCCAGGCTCGCGCCTGAAGGATGTCCGCTTGTTGAGTGTCCGCTGGATCATGGGTTTCTTGCTCACCAAGCTCAAAGGTGGTGAAATAGTCCGTGACTGCACATATGTGCGCAAGGCGCTGAACAAAGCTGTCACCATCCTCGTGCAGCCGGGCCTTCATTGCCTCCACAACCTGCCCGAAATCGGTTTCCGAAGACCGCTGGAGAAGAAAAACCTCTCGGAGCTCTCCGCTGGCTCCGCCCGAGCTCTGCAGATATCGGAGCAGCCGCAGTCGCTGGCTGGGTCTGCCGCGACGCATCGCAAGGCGGACCAGCCCCGCCAAGGGCGCCAGGCTACGCAACGGTGCCAAAACCACGGACTCCACATCCACGGCTTCTCTCGGCCTGACCCGGTGCGATGCTATCTCTATGACTCGGGAAAACTGAAATTTCCCAGGACGTTAGATTTTTGCGAAACGGCGACATCCGCCTCGCAGTGCCGGCATCCGTCTTTGAGATGCTGGGTGACTGGTGGACCTTGTTCTCCTGAAAGTGGTCTTTCAAGCGCAGCTGAGACTGTATCGAAAGCCCCAAGCCAGAGTGAGTCTTGTCTCCCCCAGCTTTAGTCCGAGGAACATAAGATTTCGGTGAAAAATCTCGTGCGAACTGGCTGGCAGCAGTTGCTACTGCTGGCAGCTACTTTTTTTTCCGTTCTCTACTCCCAGGTGCTGCAAAGAACCGACATGCGTTGAACTTCGGCAAGTAATTCTTACAACCCCATTTACATTAAAACCCTTATAACCCTCATACTTCTCATCCTGGTTTCGTCTTTCGATCCGAGGCTCCCGGGCAGCCACAGGTGCAGCGGGCGCGGCGGGCGCGGCGGCGGCTGGCGGTGTGGCGCGGGGGGCCATGGTCCCCCTCGGCTTCTCCTGGGGCTTTGCGGCCTGGGCCTTGGGCGTTGGGATCTTTGGAACCAGATCCGGATGCCCGGCCAGGAGCCTCAGAACTTTGAGAACGTTGGCTTTACACTTTCAACATCACTCTCAGGAAGCCGAGAGGCTCTGCAATCTCATCCTTTCGAGCACCGTTCTTCAGCGAAGTCAGCAGCTTCACGTACCTGGGCTTCGAAAGCGGGGAAGCCGTCCCCAGGCGTGACAAAGCTCTTCTCCCAAAGAGAAAGAGGAGAGCTCAGCTCCGAGCTTCGGCATCTCCCCAGCCCCTCTCAGCCGCTCCTTCGAGGCCAAAGGAAGAAGCCGAAGCCTCCGGAAGTCCCTCCCCATCGTCCCCCTCCTCGGGTCCCTTTCCCTCAGCTCTCCCTCCTTCACCAAAGCGAGGAAAGCGGTGATGCTCATCTCGGTCTCAGCCTGCCCAGCCGCTCCAGCCGCTCCGGCCTGCAGTGCCAGTACTACACCAAAGGCGGCTCATCAAGGTTCCTTGCAAAAGTCACACTTTGTGACTTTTGGTCACACGGCGACTGCAAGAACATATTCTGTTGTGGCTGCGGTCCTCTGTGACACAGTGCAGCTGACCCGCTTAGAGTTCACAAACGCCAGGATCACGCTTCGTGCCTTCGGCTTCGCGGCTTTCGGCTTCGCCGCTGCGCGCTTCTTCTTGAAGCGCTCGCGATGAAACCTGCCGTGAAGATGCAAAGACCCACCTTGGGATTCCTGTCGCCAGCGGCAGACATTTGAGCAGCCAGAGATCTGTCAAATGGCGTGATTTCAACATTCGTTGAGCACAAGATGCTGGGCAGAAGAAATTTTGTTGTTGAGGCTGGATATCCACCACAAGATTGGCCATGAGGATGTTTGGTGTGAGCATGTGTGAGTGAAGGCTTCAGTACACGAGGAATTCAGCTACATAGTACTTTTCAAGTCACAATTTCCGGTTTGAAGAACACATGGTCTGCAGCACAAAGACGGATGGGGGAAGCCCGTGCTGCTTGAGACCGAGACTGTCCGAACTATCACCAGTGGGACGCAAGTTGATGATGCTGACTCAGCTTCCGGTGCGTCAGCCATGCAGAAACAGCATGGATACCGTCGGTGCGGAAGGTAGCAGAATGGAGATACCCGATCGTCATGCCAATCTCTCAAGAGCCTACTTGCAGCAAAACCATATGTGGGAGAGTCCCACCACCGGCGAAGGCGGTTCGTTTTGTATTGGTAGACTCAAATTGACCTGAAAATCACAACGCGAAAAATGCTGAGTGTGCAAAGTTCCCCGAAAAGCTTGGCAAGTGCATGCCGAGTGGGCTGAAACACCGTCCGACGACATTGCCGAGGCCTGGCAAAAGCAGCGGAATGTCGCTATCTGGCAAACGACAGCTAGGTCTTTCAAGATGAACTTGTACCGAGACAGTCCGCATGCGAGACAGGTCCAAAGGCCTAGGACTAAATTCTTTCGAAAGCTGGCATAGCTGGGCCTTGCGGTTTGAACAGTCCTTTCTGAATCGACGTGTGTAAACCTACTGCCCCGGATTGGGGCACCACCTCACGAGAACCAGCTAGACGTGACGCAGCACTCCGGCAATCACCAAAGTCCTATGTGGCTGGTGAGGAAACTGGAATGCCAGAAGGGTGTCCGACACCACTCAGCAACTGAAGATCAGGTGACACACCACGGCCACATGAGTCCAGCGTCTTAGCGTACAATAGTGGGGCCCGCAGCCTCAAGACCGAAGGCTGTGAGGAGGCCGTGCACGGGAGGCCGTGGGCCTGTGCAAGCTTAGATCACATCGGGCAAGTCTATTTTTCAAGTGATGCGGCACCATACGCAAACGAAGAAAAGGCAGCATTTTAAAAAAGCGACTTGGGATGATCTGGGACATGTGGTCGCATCGACTGAAGAGCCGACGCTGTTGGACCGTGGGCGTCGACTGTGATTTTTGCGTGCCTTTTCCCGGAGATCTGCAAGCTGCTGTAACTCCGATGCCGCCCAGTCTTCGCGAGTTCCTGGCAAGTGTCGTCCGATGATCGGAGAGGAAGCTGAGGAAGGCTTTGCATCTAGACTTAGCCACGGAGCTGGGATCCGCGTGTCACAGGACCACAGCTTGCGGAGAGACCAAGCCCCCCTCTCTCGGCTACGTCTACAGCCGGGTGCAGGTGCGACTCTTTGGCCCAGGTGCTTTCAATTGCATGGTTGGCTGGTAGAGACATGGCTTGGATGACTTGGAAGGGACGCCCCAAGCGGTGCAACCCAGATTCCTGTTCTCCAGTCGGCGCTGTCCACCAAGCGACAAGAACCGTCGGGATCGCATCTGAAAGAGGTCCAGGTGTTGAACACAACACCATTGACCCCCCAGCCTAGGCTGAATGCAGGGCGAATACGGGCACATGTGGATATGGCCGCCACCATTGAGGTTTTGAGAGCCTCTAACGCGCGTTGCCACACAGAACATCTCAGGGTAGGCGACGTGGAGAAGCCGCGGGGCCGCATTGCTATCCAAGTAGCTGCGTCCCGAGGCAAATCCTCCGATCCGACTTCACTCAAGCTGCGAAGAGAGCAACTCACTCTACAAAATTCGTACCTGGAAGAAGCTGACATCCGGCCGCTACATCAGGCGAGCATCGCAGACGAGCGCGACCGGTCGACAGCATCGCAGAGAGCTTGTCCTAGATGCCGGACAACGACAGACGCACGCTTAAAAAGGCTTGTGCAGCAGGCAAGGCTCTTCCTTCTGAGCCCAGGACCAGCACAACGCCAGGAGGGACCGGTGTCGCTTCGCCCAGGACCGTCAACGCCTGCGTTGCCCATCGGCACATGCTCGACGGATGTCATCACTCTGTCAAAACGGAGAAAGCGGCGGCGGCACCCAAATTCTTGCTGTGCTTTGCTCTAGTTTTTACTCCTTCGGCCAAAAACTCATGACCCACTCACTTGAGTTAAACCCCCCACTGAACGAGCAGCCTCACTCTCATCATTGCGTTCCAACAGCATGCTGTCATCTTCGGCATCTTCCTCTTTCACGCTGACCCTGTGCGCCATGGCAGCGTGTCCAAACTCTAGAATCCGTGTGGTAGCCGATGTCACAGAGTGCGGAAGTAGATCTGCAACTGCCAAAGGCGGCAAAACAGATGCATCGTTCTCCGGCCCTGGATATCCCTGGCATGATACTGTCAGCTTCGCGTCGCGTTAGTCTTGTTTGGAGTCCCGGCTGGCCCAAAGAGGGGGCCCTTACATGCTTAAGCCAATACGCTGGGAGACAACACGAACGACAGCACCCGACAGGCATAACGCCTACTACGGCCTAGATCATGCAAGGATAAGGATTCACAACCGAGATGTGGTGGCATGGCTGCACACGCGAGTCAGAATCATGTAAGCAGACGGCGAGAGCGCGTGCTGAATGTGAACATGGCACATGGGAAAAGCTGGGTGAAGCATCTCAAAATGAGTCGCAAAAAGCTGAGGAACTTACTCATGCATGCATGAGGGTTTAGAATGGCAAGGAAATCAGCCCTGCAAAATGATGCAACGGATGAGCAACTGATGCCCTTCCCAAGAACATCTTCTGGGTGCTGCACTGTCGCCTTATACTCTTCATTCCACAAGTGAACAGGTCTTGTGTCTGGGCATTGCATCGTGCTTAGTTCCTCTTCTTTTGCAGCACGCTTTGGCATGTCCCGGTCAGCGCTTGTTTTGCCCTTCACGACCCGGTCTTCCAGAAAGCTCAGGACGACTGGTGCCAGCCACTTTTCAAGCAGAAAAAGCCATGCAGCAGCTTCGTGTCCTTGTCCTCGTACCTTCCCTCTCGTGACCCTCGTATCGTGAAAGACCTGGCAATCTGCGGTCATCTCCATGTCTAATCATTCAGAAATTGAGATGAGTGGATCCTCTTCGAGCCATCGAGCCCTTGCTTTCGTGCCCTTACTGCGGCGCTGTCGCAAAGAGAGCCATGCCACTGAAGAGCTCGGAAGCGGTCTCTATCTCTGTTGGGGCAAAGCTTGGTGCGCCGCATAGAGGATCCCCGGATGCCAAACAAGATCCTTGGTCGATTGAGACGGCTCGCGGTTCTAAGTTCTAACCTCGTTCGAATGTCGACAAAAAGCTCTGCAGGCAGCTGCCGGAGTGTATGCAATCGGCCGAGGGCCATAGTTCAACCGAGATTCTTGCTCCCAGCGTCTCTCCCAACATTCTTCTGATGACCACGGCAACTGCAGAGCTGCACTGGAAAGTTTTGCCTCCGATGCACGGATCCTCGCCGGTGCGAATGCACGGTGAGACGCCGAAACGGCGGCATCCCTTGAACCAGTCGTAGGCGTCGTAGGCGTAGTGACTTGGGGCTTCGGCTTCGGACTCTGCTTGGCCAGAGGAGCTGAGATGTCCGCAGCCTGTCTCGCCAAACGATACGGCTCCAGGATTGAGAGAAGCTGAGAAGGAAGTCCGTTCTCCATGAAGTGCTGAATGCCTTCTGGGTTTTTAGAACAGACCTCCCGAAAGCGTTTGTAGATCTCTTTCTCCACCGCTCGAACTTTCCAGCTCTTGCAGGGTGGAGGCGGGCTTCGTCTTCCGGCGTACGCGTCCAATAGGTCTTTAGCCCGACTCGCCATCAGCCTCTCTTCCTCGAAGAGAAATGTTTTGAGTCGCTGCAGAGCATCCAGAACACCTGGCAGGAACTGCATGGTCCTATATACTTCTACCAGAAACGACCGTCCTTTAGTTCACAGCTACACGGAGGGCAGCATGCCTGGCGTGTCAAGGCTCCCCAGAGCTGCCGACAAGTCATCCAGCGAATGCAGCAGGTCTTCGGGCAAAGCACTTGGAGCAGCCGCGGCCGCAGCCGTCTCCATTGCCTCCAGCAGGCTACCGGTGCCCGGCTCGCGCTTCCTTGCGTCAAGCGTGGGCTCCTGCAACGCCGACCCGGGACCTCGCAAAGCTCGCGGGTAGGGATAGCTTGGCGCCCAGGCCGGGGCACGCGCAGGTGCTGCAGGCTGCGGCTTACTCAGGTGGAGGAACTGTGAAGAAGAGTCCAGGTACGGATGGCCGTCAACGCCCCAGCCGTGAGACCATCTCCTCCCTGTGTAGCTCAAGCTCTTCTCCCGCCTTGAATTTTGGACCTGAAACAAGGCCATTATTGTGACTCGCCCGCACACGGGAAGAACCTGCCATAAGCCCGAAACGGCGCCTCAGCTTCGTCTGCCGGTGACTCCATGAGCGCAAAGCTTGTCGTGCATTATAGAAACCCTCTTACCATGATGCTGGTGCAAGGCTTACTGCGGGAAGGGTGATCATGGTGCAGCTCCTTCCGTGATGTTGTTCGGCTTCCTTGTCGACCAAGAAGGTTGCCAAGCACCACGTAAATCGCAGAGGACCGAGAAAACGAGCTGCTCGAACTGTGTGCACGCCCACTGCTTTTTTCCACCGTGTCTAGGGTGTGCCTACGCGCAGCATCAATGTGTTAAGCCGGCAGAGGTCCCAGTCCCTGGGCGCCCTATGCCTTGCTCGCCCAGGTGCTTGCGGCCGGGAAAGGAGTCTCCTCACCATCACACCGGCACTTTTCTCATGTTCGCTGAGCATTCTGCCAGCCTTGGAGTAGACGACCTTGCGGCGCTGGTCCGAGAGATAGCCCTTGACAGCCCCGATGTAGATCTGCACAAGGTTCACCGGCCATACAGTGAAACTGCTCTGGGCGGTGATCAAGGATCACTTTGCCACACTTAAGGGCGTACCAAGTGAGCCAGCAGGCACAGGGTCTCGTCCTCAGAGCAATCGTCCTGTGTCGAGCTGAGCAACAGGAGTCGCAACGACCCAGCAGCACAAGCCATTCAAGTCATGTCATGAGACGGTGCATTGCTGACTGCTGGCAAGGACGGGATTTCCTGCCACCGGAAGGCGCACTCGTAGGGGGCAAAGTCCTGCAAGCGCCGCAGGCTCGACATCAAGAGCAACCGCACCGGCTGCAGTCTACCGAGCGTTGGGGTCTCCTGCTTGAACTTCTGCACCGCCTCAAGCTTCTCACTTTGGTGCTCGAACCTGGCCGTCAGACAAGAAACATGTCAGGTCTCACAAAAACTGACAGAAAAGAAGGTCGCTGAGGGCGTCACACATGTCTTGTAAGGTTCCGGTATGCGACTACTTTCAGCTTCTCCTTAGACGCTGTTAGCTCTCACCACAAAGCTGCATGGACCGTGCTGCGGTGTCATGTTGTGCGCCGTTGTGCATGACGTTGCCGTTAAACCCAGCAGAATGTAGTGACGCGGACTTTCCCTTGAGGATAGGACCGTCACCAGGTAGGTACCCAGTGCAATGAGCTCCGCTTCCTCACACTAGCCAAACCCTGAGACACCGCGTGATCTGCTGAGAGCTGCATCCACGCCTGCCGAACCAGCTCCTGGTCAAGGAGACCACTGCTTCCTATGAAATCGAATCTTCCAGCCCGGCCGTCCTCGTTGAAGCGGCGCACGTCACCGGCGGCTGTTGCCACCACCAGGCCGGCCAGGCTGCGCATGCAAAGAGCCGTTGGTGAAGTGCACTGATGTGTCAAACAGTGCATACATATCCGGTAAGGCAATCTTTGCCCGTTCTACCTGCCTCGACAGCCCGTTCCGCTCCAGGAGACCTGTGCAGCGAGAGCTAGTGGAAAACTGCTTGAAGTGAAGCGTGAAAATTCGGAAAGCTTAGAGTGTTGAGATTATGTTGATGACCTCGAGATGGATACTGACCAAGCCGCAGTCGACAGGGGATCAAGTATGTCAAGATCCTGCAGCTCACGTCGAACGCCTTCACGACCACAGCATGGCATCCTGGGACAACCAAGGCCGCCACCTCTGTCTGTTGCCAGCGGCCTCGAAACGATGCACCGGATCTTGCCACTACAGATCATGCACCTAGTTCCTGCAGAATGCAGGCCCGAGGAAACGAAGCATGCGGGAGCTGACGAACACACCGTAACACACAGCAGGAGAGCCTTGGGAGGGCAAAGTGAGAATGCCCGCGATAGTTTGGCCTCTGCCTGGCGGTGATTTGTCATTGAGATGGGCTCAGTGCGGAGAGTTGCCCCCAATTTCCCGAATCGCCTCGACGATTTTGCCTTCCAGCACCAGGTGCTTTCCCCAAAGGAAGTACCTCCATGCAGATGTCAACCGAAGCTGCGTGAACTCGACAGGAAAACCGGAAGTGTGCAGTGTGTTGGAGGTCACAAAGTCACAAGCAACGACTTTGGTAGCCTGTCAGGTTCAAACCTGAGAAAGCCGCCCGAAACAGTCATCACAGTGAAGACTGCTTCAGATGGGATCCGGCTTGTCTTCTCGCCACACGTTGCCTCCGCTTCAGGCAGCCATCATTGAAACTCACTCGGTGCTAAGGAGGCTCTGGCCAACGGTTGTCAGGATGAAGCTGCATTGAGATGCCTGCCCGACGAAGGGAACCGATCTCTGTTGCAATTATTAGGTATTGCCGCGGGGCGCGCCTGTCCGAGGCTCCGGTAGAGTCGTAAGAGCTCGCAGCAAATTACAAGGGCTCCCTGCGAGGCTGCGAGAAGCATCGAGCCTACGGAGAGTCTCTGGAGATCCTATCGCGTCGCGTTCGCAGCTGCTGCCTCCCTCCTGGCTCTGTCTTGGTGGAGCTTGGTGAAGACGATTCGCAACTCCTGTGGGCTCCCATGCTTCTGTTTTGCTGCCGTGAGCACCTTTTGGCCTCCACCACCTTCCCTCGGTACCTGCGCCGCGTCTCCCAGGCCACGGCACTGAAAGCTGCTCTGAAGAAAGCCAAGCATGCCTGGGAGAATCCTTCCCATCCAGCTCGACGGCAATCTGCCTGGACCAGCTGCTCTGTGAACAGGAGACTGCTCCCAGAACCGTCAAATTTCCTACACAAAAGCCACATCATCGCAATTCCCGTCATGCCTCGGCCTGGCTGCCAACCACAGCCTCAGCACCGCTCCACTGGAAAAGGCCTCCCTAACCGCGTTTCCGCTCACGGTGAAAACAAGAAACAAGAAACCAGAAAAAAACAACTGCTTATCACACGACTTGCTAGAGAGGGTCCTGGAGCTACGCAAAGTTGTAAAATCGCAAGCACGGCAGGCCCTTTCTGTCGATCAGGACTTTTATGGCACCCTGCGAGACAACTTTTGTTCATAGAGCAAGTCGAACAATCTGCCGAGTAGCATTGGTGCCAGCATCCATCGCACCTTGTCGTTTCTGTCCAGATACCTGGCAAGTGCACTGGGCATGCAGACACGCTCAAACACGCACTGCTCTGTAGGCTCACCTTCGGGCCCACTGCCGCAGAGCTTCTAGGAAGGCATCTAAGCCTTCGTCAGCAAATAACAGCCACGAAGTCTCGCAAGCCAACAATACCACTCCTGCTGCCTTCAGCTGTTGCACCGGCGCTCCAAGCAAGCCCAATACTCTTTGCCACGACGTCGTCTTTTGTGCCCTCTCACGCGGTTAGAACCCACATGGATGAGCGGAAGTTGCACACACACACACACACACTTGCACACATGTGCGCGGGGCGTTCCTCCAAATCAGCATCTGCAGGCTGCTTCCCAGTGGTTGTTTGGAGCCTCAGGACGACGTAGGCAAACCAAAAAGCGTACTTCTGTCGCAGCGATGGTTTCAGGCACCAGCAACTTGTGAAGATCGATGCCGTTATTGTCGTGGCACAACCGGAGGAAATCGCGGCCAAACGAGCTGCTGCCTGCGCTTGCGTCTCTGCACTCAACCAACACAAACATTCGTCTCAAATCATGAGCTCAGCCATCACCTCGCAGCCTGCCTGTCATGTTGCTACCGGGCCATGAGCCACAGCGTATAGAACGAACATTCTTTAAGTTATGGTGGCTGGGCGGGAAGTTTGCAAGTTTCAATGCATGAACTGTGGCTGAATGCAAGAATCTGCCCATCTACCAAACTTGCAAGAATTTCTTGACAACAACTACTCTGCCGCACGTCTCAATCTTATGATAGAACACTTGGATGTCTCCCCCAACGTGATAATCGATGGAAGGTTGATCTGCCTGTAAAGTAAATCTGCATGCGGAGCCACGGATGTGCATCACTCGAACGTAATGGGCATTCGGCGCAACTATGCGCAAGTGCTGCTTAACAGCCTGCTGTCGGCCAACCAAGTTAACCGTCGAACAAGCTGATCTACGTCACGTATTTGGGCTATCCTTCATGCAAAACCGCATAACTTCAGTTACTCATTCTAATTTTGCTGATTTGCATGTTTCCAAGCAAGAAAATCCAAGATGTGCTGCTGTGGCATCTGAGCCGGGTCCTTTCTGCAAATTGAAAAGCCAAACATCAGAAAATCTGACGCTCGAGTCTGCACTATTCGGCTTCAATGTTCAACTTCGTAATTTGGAAACTTCATTCCAACCAGTTTGTGCCCGGGCTTTTGGCATTCCCGGCCTTCAACTTTTGCCTTTCGGTAAAAACTTTAGGTTACCAACCTTTTGGCACACGTTTCCACACGGCATCGCCTTGCAACCACATCCAAGGCCCCGAAAACGCATTTTTGTTGCGGGTATGGATTGTAGAGGTATAGCAAGCGGTCTGCAAGAAACAACAGGGCAACAGTCAACCAGTGGATATCATCTTGCCTTTATTGGTGTGGGCTGGTTCAGCAATCAGCTGCAGTCCGAAGCAACAAGTTAGAGTCACCTGAAACGAAAAGTTTTTGGGCATGAATCGGTGTCGGTCTCAGTGACAGCGTCAGCTGCGTCTAACAGGAAGCATCAAGTGAAGCCAAAATTGCTTGGTTTGCCCAAAGGGTCCTTTGTGGTAGACAACAGTTCTTGTGGACAAAATGTAGCGGCTTTTTTGGCATCGGCGAGCCTTGTCGGCTGCAGCAGCATCACTCGGTCCCCAGAAACGCACAACCGCAACAAACACACAAAAAACAGCGGTGAAACGAGCAACCATCTACTAAGCGAGGCACGTAAGCTTACTGCGGCGTGCGGACTTGGTCAGCAAGAGCCGTTCAGCGCGAAATCAGCGACCACAAGCTTAAGCAAAGTGGGCCGTCACCCAGAGACGCCCAAGATAACGGGTGGAGCCCAATGCAAAGCTCCGGCTACCGTTCCAGTCTCGTCAGACAACGGTCAACCCCCTCCGTCAAGTTTCAGCTGAGTCACCAAAATCCAAAAGACCAAGTGCAGGTAAGCAAAGTCCGTCGGCCGGAAGATACGGCTCCCTCGAACTT